TTTCTGGATAATAGAACAAGATAATTAGCTAAAGATAATACTCATTTGACATATGTTTATCACACAGCCAATGAAGGCCTCACATTCAGACATTATTCATCTTTACCAACCATCGGCCACTGTATTTCTCCCACGACCTATATGAGTGAACCGAGAATAAGGAATTCGAACTTAAGACTTTTTTCAATATTGAGTAGGAAAAAAAAATACCCTTAGACAAAGAGCTAATTGACATCATACAAGCATCGGATGAGTTCAGTTTTTTTTAACTATAAGGGTACATCTGAAGCCGAGTCACCATCTTGAATACTGTGTCCCACACCATTAATTTCTTTGTCTGTGTTAGGGATGCATCCCCATCATCACACATGGCTTTGTGTTTGTTTCCTGTGAGTTTGATGCTTACGTTGAATGAATGCACAGAAATATGAAGTATGAAGCATTTATTGAACATGGCAAAATAAGATGAAATGATCTCCAGTGAAATGCCTAATTCAAACAGTCTTCTTCATCAATGAAGGCCCAACTTGAACTCTTTAACTCGGCTTAACTCACCCAAAGGCTTCATGGGCTAAACCCAAATCCTTATAGGGCACAAATGGAAACAATTTCTAAGGGAGGAACACAATAGAAAAGCCCAATAAGGTAGGGATTGGAAAGACAGTGGGCTTGCCACCAATGCATGAAGCTAATCTATGCCCATAATTCTTCTTCTTTCACTCCCTCTCCTCACGTACGTGAAACACAAAATGCATCATTTGGAGACACATGTAATGTCAGTGTTTGTTTTTTCTTCTTCTGGTAGCACATGCTCTGTTAGTTGTTGTGTTAGTTGGGATCATTTGCATAAGAGACTTGGAGTGAATTTGTAATGAAAGGACTGGTTTGGTTAGGAGAGGCTACTCTCTTAGAATTAAAATGGTTGCTGGAGGGAGGACCACCAGAGAGAGAGAGAGAGAGAGAGAGAGAGAGAGAGAGAGAGAGGGGTAAGTGGACAGTAGAGAGAGAGGGATGTGAGAGAGGTTTAATAATGAAATAGGAATGGTAAAGATATCAATGTTTGGATTATGAGAAGCAAAATATGGAAAAGCCTGCCAGAAAGGATGGAAATGTAGGAAATGAAGGGTCGGGGGTCAGAAAGCCCCAAACCCCTCCACAACTTTTTCTCTATCTTGTCATTGTCACTGTCCTTGTGGTCCCTTTCATTTCCCTGCTGCTGCTCTATTTCTCCCCGCTTTCTTCCCTCATATCAAATCTCACTCACTCACTCACGAATATAATTTACACAAACATAAAAAAGAATCTACCTCTACCCGAAATCCCCGACCCAATTATATTTCTGAAACGCAACGGAAAATCAAGTTTACGGACCATTGCTCCATTGGTTGCTGATGGCCTTCCTTGTCCTCCGGCGGAGTTCACCCATCAGTAATTAGTTTAGTTCTTTTTGGTTGTGGGCTTGATTCTAGTTTGCCTGCATCTTGCTTGTAGTTCTGTCTTGTTGTTTTTGCTGGCGGCTTTGGCGCAATTCAGACCCAAAAAACAAAAAACAACAAAGCATAAATGAGAGAATTTGATGCGTCATCGAGGTATATCTCATTCTGTCTATAGTACTCGTTACGTGATCTTGTTGTGTCATCGGGATATATCTAACATTCATCGCATAATGAATCTTGTAAAGTATATCTTTCTTTGTAAGTAACATACGTTCTACAAAATAACATCCACACACATCAACGACTAAAAACCAGTCACGAGTACAAGCACCACAGTTAACCCTACCATTCTCCATGGCACACATATTCCACCAATGTTTTTGAGTAGTAATTATGCGAGTCTGGCCCCTTTCTATTAACACTACTGTAACCAATAAACCCCAAGCTCTCTTTATGTTGAGTGTCTTTAAAGTTGAAAAGTGGTTAAAAGAAGTGGGAGGGTGTTTCCTGGTGGCTGACAGGCGTTGCGTCAGATAACCACAAGCAAATTAGCAAGTAGCAAGTAGCCTAGCATGTAGCAAGCAAGCAGGCTTTGGTTTTGGCATTCGAGGGTAAGGTGGGGAATCACATGACGTTTGGATCACATCACCTGCCAAAATAAAACAAAAAAGGAGAACTTGAAATTTAAATCAGTTTCGTTGCGTCATTAATTAACACAAGAACATAGGGCATCACACAAAAATTGAGCTCTACTTATATTATTCTCAGCATCATTTCCTCCGTACACAAATCTTTAGTGAAATTTGGACACCCTAGTTTATTTAATGTTCGCTATTATTTTGTAGGCCAATTTTAGTACTGAATTTTAGAATCCATTTTCACTTTTATATGCACATTATAAAAAAAAAAATGTTAGGAGCTAATAACATGGTCTAGTAAGTGAAAAATGATCTGGAATGGTATCAAGTTTGAACCTTCATGTCACTTTAATTGTGCGTGTGTGCGTGTTTTAAACTCCTTCCCTCTTTTAGTTTAGACAATCACCTGTATTTCCAAAAAAATTTGGGAATGCACACTCATACACATGTCTTAAGACATAAATATCCGATACATGTAGACTTGCTAATCCAAAGGTGATTTCTTCTATTCCATATCCGACAAGATTCACTGGTCCGTTAATTACACGATTTAACAATTCACTAAAATTCATCTACCTTAGGCCAAATTTACAGTGCTTGTTGTACAAATCTGTTGCTATTTTCCCCTTTTTTTTTCTTTAGACTCTCTCATGTGTGTGTGTGTGTGTGTGGACCTGAAGATCTCTGTCACTGTGAGACTACCAGTAGAGAGTAGAAGGAGCCCACTCTAGCAGACAAGTCCACATCAACCCAACATATCAGTCCTCCATACTCCAATGCTCCATGCTGAGGGGTGAGTGTCTAACGGCCAGTTGACGAGTCCAATCCTGCAGAACCCAATCCAATCCAATCCAACTATCCACACTCCAAAGTTAGTTGCTTCTTCCTTATCCTTGTAATGGCATCATGGCGTGGTTTAATTTAATCCATCCACTACTACTATATATTTGTGAGAAATCACCTCATATATAACATGATTTTGACACTGCTTAGACTCAAACATACACAATTATTATGTAAGTTGAAGATAGGGAAGAGAAAACCAATATACAATGCGATGAATTAATTTGTGTTCTCCCAGGGAAATCTTATGAGTTTGAAGGATTATTGGAAGTTATTGCACAGGATTTGTGGTTCAATCATCGAAAGCACCTATTTCTTAGGTTCGCTTTAACGATTATTTGTCCAAAAAATCAGTCAAATCAGAAATAGTTTAGCTAGTTAATACCATCGAAATCATTTCAAATTTATATGACTACGATTTATTTCATTTTTAACATGTGGTCCAATGACCCGAATCCTTAAATCGTCTCAATTTGAAAATCACTCTTTCGGAAAATTAGCTAATTTGAAAGCCATAACATTATGTAATTTTGATCAAGCATGTATACGTACGGATATATTTACCATAAATATCGAAATGATTATATTGTTACTCAAATTGATAAATAATTTCCGATTTTATTGACTTTTTCATAGATGATATTTGACCGGAGAACTAAAACATGAACAATGTCTTAGAAAAATAAATGGCCACATACATATGATATTTGATATTCGACGATGATATGGTTTATACTAGCTAATCAATGGCCACATACATATATGATTGATAACAACTAATCAGAAAAATATATATCTTCTTCAAGCAAAGTTATGGGTTCGAGTCGTAGTATATGTGTAGTTAGTGTATATTATCGTCCCATCTCAATAGAAAAGGTCCTTAAAAAAAAAAAATCTCTTCAAATCCGAATTTAAAGGCAAAAAAAGTAATGGCACTTAAACGAAACTTGGATGAAGATGAGATGGCGTCCAGGTCGAGTATATGGTATATGGTACTGTGAAAACAAGTCCATGAGAAGTTGAGATAGAATATCCTGAAACCCATTGTGTTGAAAGTTGTTGAGGGTAGAAGACGTCACATAGACACACACTCACACATGATGTCTGAAAATGGAGGGCACGTAGGCAGCTCCCAAAAATGCCGACAGTTTAAAATCAGTGTCCTCATGAGCTTACCTCACCTGTGTTGCCAGTTCTTGAAGCATATATCAACCCCACCTCCTGATCCCCATCCAGCCTGGATCGCTTATTTGATTTGCCCTCATCACTCCTACTCATCAATTTGTCCCCAAACAATATCACTTGTTTGGTATGCATATTTTTCGTTTACCTTACTAGCAAGTGGTCCGTAGGGTAAGATCGAGAGGGTAACTGTACATACTCAATTTGAATTTGACCGGCTTCGAATAAACTAAACTCGAATTCGAATTATGTGTAGAAATTTGGTGAATCAAAGTTAATCCGTGCTTCGGAATCCCTAGTAACAAAATGAAGACTAAATGTCGTTACGCAAAAATACTCGTTTTAGGAAATCTTTTGCAGTTTTACCGTGGTGCGATTTGAGTAGCTTTAGATATAGGGGTAGCAGGTCTACCATTTGCTAAACATCATCCCAGCTAGTACTATGTCATTTTTTCGAGGCAAGTGGTTTTCCTCTTTCTCTGCCATTTCCCTTTTCTACTTTCATGCTATTACTGAGAAAGTGATTCCCAATCTCACTTTTACCACAAAGAAAAAAAGGAAACAAAACACAACAAAGTAGTGTTTCCACATAAAAGGAAAACAAGAAAAGAACCAAAGTGCATGCCATTATGCAATTAGCAAGAAATGCCAAGAAGAAAGTTAGAAGCAAAGCACCAAAACAAGTAGAGATTTCAAAAATTAACCCTAGTTAAGTATTAGGGATAAAAAAAATTGAAAAAAATTTGAAGTAAATGAAAGAGAGAGGTTTAGAGTAAGATATGCATAGAGGGGAATTGATGGCCACAATTCTCCACCCCTCTCTTATCTTCTCCTCCCTGAGAAACTTTAAAAATTAAAAAAGTATTACCCAGTTCAAAACAAACAAACCAAAAAACCCCAAAAATAAAAATAAAAATTAACAGTTTAAGATTTAAATATTACTATTACACTACACAAACCAACACTTGGATGTAATACAAACAAACATTTAGCACTTAGTCATTTACAAATGTCCATCTCCAGTGGAAGAAGCTTTTTGCTGTTGATCGTCTTCATAATCCGTTTCTTGGGCTCTTCAGAAACCATGTAGATCTTCACCTCTTCATTTCCTCACCAAACAATCAAAGAAATAAAGAGAGAGAGAGAGAGAGAGAGAGAGAGAGAGAGAGAGAGAGAGAGAGAGAGTGAGAGAGAAGAGAGAGAGAGAGAATGGAATTTGAGGAGCACGAAGAGCACGAGGAGGAGATGGAGATGGAGATGCAGGCGGCGCCCCCAGGTTACGACTCGACTGCGGCGAGTTCCAGGGTCAAAATGGGGCCCACCCGTGAGGGCACCGTCTCCACCGCAAGAAAGAGGGGGGCAACCTCCACAGCGGCAACCACCAACACCACCACCACCCTCACCACCATGGTCAGGTACAGAGAATGCCTCAAGAATCACGCCGTCAGCATCGGAGGTCACGCCGTCGACGGCTGCTGCGAGTTCCTGGCTGCCGGGGACGAGGGAACAATGGACGCGCTCATATGCGCCGCCTGCAACTGCCACCGCAACTTCCACCGCAAGGAGCCCGAGGGCGAGCTGATTCATCACCACCAGGGTGGTACTACTGGGCCCTACCACCAGAGCGGTGGGCCCCACCACCACCTCCTCCAGCACCAATTTTCCTCGGGCTTCTATCGCCCACCGCCACCACCATCTGGCTACCTGATCACCTCTCCGCACGCAAGACCCACTCTAGCCTTGCCTGCAGCGTCAGGTGGTGGCGGTGGGTCTCATAGTAGGGAGGATGGAGAGGATGTCTCGAACCCCAGCTCGAGCGGCGGTGGCGGTGGAGGAGGAGGAGGATTTGGGATAAATAAGAAGAGGCACCGGACCAAGTTCACGCACGAGCAGAAGGAGAAGATGCTGGAGTTTGCGGAGAAAGTTGGGTGGAGGATTCAGAAGCATGACGAGGCAGCGGTGGAGGAGTTTTGTGGAGAGACTGGAGTGAAGCGACAGGTTCTCAAGGTTTGGATGCACAACAACAAGCACACCCTCGGTAAGAAATTAGGGCCTTAAGTTAATTGATTAACCATTTTAATTTCATTTAATAGCTAATTAGCTAGCTTAGCTAGCTACCTAGCTAGCTCAGAAGAGTGTTGCAGTGTATGTTGAGTTTACCCAGTTAGATTATCATCACCCATTCATGCATGTACGTAAGAAAGAGAGCCTCCTTGCAAATTTATTGTGTGAATGGTTTTCCTTAATTTAGTGTTAATTCATGGTAATTTTAGTAGCTATAGCTTAGCTAGGGTTTCATCGCCAGGTTCTAAACTTTTAATTAATTACTGTGTTTGCTAATTAATCTCTGGCTCTGGTTCTAATCTTAAGGTTAATCATGGTGTTCTTAATTGGGTATTTTGGTTAAGCATCTTCTTTCTTTGTTGCACATTGCCCTAAAAACCCAAAACAGCTCTGCCATTTTATTCCATGGAAGTGTAAGTTTTCTCTTTTTCTTTTTTTGGTGAAACAAAAAGGAAAACCAACATAAAGGGTAAGCTTAATTATGCTAAATTGGATTGTAATTAGTTCGCATTACCAAGGAACCAGAGAATTCCAAAAACTCCAATCAAAACCTGTAATTTTTGGCATGCAAAGCAAACCTGAAACCTGCTATTTTTGTGTTGTTTATTAATTTCTTTTGGATTAGTTCTGAGTTTTGGGTTTTTGACGTTCATCCACATTTGTCATCTTATCCTTATTTTCTTCCATGATCACCGCCTTAGCTTTACTCTCTCTCTCTCTCTCTCTCTCATATTAATTTGGCTCAACCTCCATATTGCATTAATCTCTGGACACATCCAGCATGAAACTGAAGAAGCTGATCAAATTCACCGATTTTTGAGCTTAACGGACACATGTGATCTCATCAGATGAGAGCATCTATTTACAGCAGGGCTGGATTGGTTTAATAAATTTGTTCTTTTCTTTATTAGGAAAATATTTTTTTGGATTTTTTTTTCTATCTCGAAAAGCATTATGCATGCGTTAACGACACGTATCATGCATGCCGATATCGCGCTGTAAGTTCACACAAATTATAACACGTATATTGAATTTTGAAATTAGTCAGACTGCTCTCGTTTACACAAATTATAACACGTATATTGGATTCTAAAATTATTCAGACTACTTTCGTTTACACAAATTATAACACGTATATTGAATTCTGAAACTAGTCAGGTTGCTCTCGTTTTCTTAATCCATTCAGCTTGTGTTTCATCTTCTTATGCTGGTTTATTTCTTCTTTCACTTTGGTGTTATATAAACATTTCTTGCTTTCTTTAACAATTTAAATAATGAGAAGTTAACTTCATATTAATGCAGTTAATTATCAAATTTCTTGTTTTACATATGCACCAATTGGGACTATATGGGGAACTTTCTGTGTTCATCTTTTGGTGTGCTCTGACAATTTGACGTTCTTCTGAGCCAGAAAACAAGAAAAGGGTTTAACAAGTACTATTGAGTACGTCCTTTGGATTATAGTCAATTGAAGAAAATGCCCCATAAATTGTTGGGGGAGGCCAATATGTATTTGGGTTGATCATTTCTCTTGGAACAATTTTTTTCCTTTATTTGGTTAATTACTTGGAACAATTTTAATCGATGTTTGTGATGAGCGAGGCTCAGCTGCGTATGGAACACATGATCAATGGATGAATTTGATATTTTTGAGTAATCTTTGATTAATTTTAGCAATTCAATGTCAAGTCCCTAATTAATTTCTTTCACGCTGATCAAGAAAGGAAATTGCATGAACAGGTACGCTGCCAAGAGTTCAAGACAACCTACTTAGTTAGACCTCAAAAACAACAGAAATAAATGGGTTGCTTGGTAGTTTGACACTACAAAGTTCTTCTTTTGGAGTGTTCTTGTCAGCTTGAAAAATGTTGGGGTTAGGAATCGGGTTCTTGATCTCTTAGAAATAACAGGTGCGAAATATAGAAACACACCCAAAATCAACCCCAAAATCAACAATTGTATATTTTTTGGGTGTGTTTATAAATGAGTTTTGAGTGTGTGTAATGATGGGTTTTGGGTGTGTTTATAAAGTGTTTTAGGTGTTGGGTTTTTTTATAATTTCAACCCCCATTTTGGGTGTTTTAGTGAAACCCCAATAAATAAATGTGATTGAGAAACACAAAAGTAAACCAATCACAAAGAACAGCACAAGAATTTACGAGATTCACACGTATGAGCTATGACACTGAGTTACTATGAGATTCTCACTATAAAATAAGAAGGAGAAACAATTACAAGCACTTAGGTGTTTTTTTCATAGTTACTTCTAATTAGGGTTCGCAAGATCACCAATACAACTCCTAGCACACCTTCTCGGAGCATCCTGACTGGTCTGTTTAGATTATAACTTTCCCATGGAATCATTAATTCTTCAGTTATGAGAGGCCTCGATATGTTCATCTAAAATAACCTTCAGAGATTTCAGCTTCTCTACAATGTCACTCAACACGTTTGTAGGTTCACCAAACCGCCCGTGGTCATCTTCAATTAAACAACCGCGTAATCATCAATTTGTGACCTCCATAGCTCTAATACCAGTTGTTAGGAAACATGTCTACGCTCTTCTCAATGTTAGATGTTAATATGGCATCACCATGTTTAAATCGGCTCTATATCTTTAATAGTTGATGTTCAGAGTATGGCAATATAAATATATACCACCTCAAATAAGATCTGCATTGTGGACTTTAGAGCCCATTTACTTTTGTTAGAAGCGCTTGTATCATAAGAACGACGATAATTTTTGGTAAAAATTTCTGTTTCTTAAAAAAGCACTTTTATGACCCCATATATATGATGTATGCGTGTCGTGTCAGATATAATATTTTGTATCAAAAGATTAAACATTCTTATAATATGTGGAGAAAATATTATTTTGATACAAAATTGTGTTGACATTGTAGCCTTCTGTTAGTTTAAGGGAGAAGAGGTTTAGAGAATGGTTGGTTTAGTTTTTAGGACAACAGTTTAACTTTGGAATGGAAAACTTTTGAAAGAGTAAGAAAGTATTTTTTATTTGACTGGAGGAGAAAAGGTACAAAGCTTTGATATAGGACTTAGTGGAATATAGGACAACTGCTAGTTTTTTCTGCTTTTAGCTTGATTACTTTGAGAGGTTGTAGGCTTATTTATAGGGATACTAAGTCGGCAACTTTGCTTTGGACAAGTCGGTTGCACAGTAACCGACTTATCCAAAGTCATTTTCAACCACAAGTTGTCTTCTAATTCTAGATTTCTCTAGTTATATTATAATAGATAATTATTAGATGGTTCTAGTAAGAATCAACCATCTTTTACTTGATAATTCTCTCAATTATTCTAGAATTTTTTAGTTTTATCACACAAGTGTACTAATATTTAACACCTTCATACAAGCCTTATTGAGCTTTGCAATCCGAGAATGATTTAGACCATAAATTTACATCCCCGACAAGCTAGCTCTAACAACAATATATCCTTTGATTGCTTAAAGCAGCTCTCTGTCTATATATGTGAAACCATTGGTGTAAAAGCAGCCTTGTTTGCGAAAGGCTGTTTTTGTTGAAGAGCTAGTTTTTCCAACACGTCAAACATGCAGAGATATATTGGTGAAAGTCGTAAAGAATACAAATTATAGCCAGTGAGGTGTTGAAGGTGTTGGAAAAAACGATGTGAAGTTGGATCGACTTGTTGTTGCTGCTTTATTCTAAACAGGTGGGCTCTATCTCTCTATGCCTCTCTCTATCCAAGGAAAAAGAACTGACCACAAAATACAAATTCGACTGACATTACAGCTATTATATCTGTTTAAATAAATGAGTAGCATCATTGCATTTTGTTTGTGAAGTCAGCATATATTCCTCCCCATCTACCAACATTTAGCATTTCCATTTTACCTTTTTAAGACCAAGAAAAGCTCAAGAAAAAATGAAAAACTTCTGGTCCGCTGCCACTGTCGTCAGCATCAGCTCATGCCAACGTTCCTCGGACTAAACACCCATCAAAGTCTCTCACTCTCTCATCGCGACGGTGAGTGAGGAGAGACCGATGACTTTTCCGGCCTCGGATTTGGAAGGATGGGGGAAGGGGAGATGGGGGATAGGGTGGGGGTGGAGGTGGAGTGTCGGACTCAAACATGGCAGTCACTATTCTAATTTCTAAATCTCTAACATACCAACAAGAAAATGCCAAATGCCAAAAAGTGATAATATTAATATAAGTGGTTTGGTTTGGTTCGGTCTAGACAGTTTCTAAATGGCCCAAACCACACCTACCTAAGCGAAATCAAACCGACTTAAGCCAAACTAATTACATGTTAGTTCGATTCAGTTCATGATTACATTTGTTTTTAGTGTAGAAACCTAATGCTCAGATCGGTTTTGATTTGTCTGATTTTTCATGTGGTTTTTTGTCAACCTCTAATTTGAAATAGAATTCATAAGTTAACATGTTGGGTGTTTAATGTATATACATCATTATTTTATTTTATTTTTCAAATTTTGGAGGGGGGAAAGGAGTTATGATTGGTTTTGAAACCTAATTTTTAGGACTGGAGTGTTCTTGGCCCTCCCATATTTTTATCAACCCCTAATTTTAAATAGAATTAATAAGTTCACACGTTCTAGGCTTGGAGTGGCCCTGGCCCCCCATATTTTTATCTCTCCTCTATTATATTATATAAAATATATAGAATTTGTAATAAACAACTTATAATTTCAGTTATAGTTTCCTCTAAAACAAATTAGACGTGACTAAATTATAAATATTTAGCTCTAAATATGTAATTATTGAATACTTAAGTGTTTTATATACTTGTATATTCTATTTCGGCCTCCTAACTTTACAATTCTAGCTTCGCCCTTACCTGAAACGTCTAAAATACATGCAAATGCTCTTACTAACCCCTTGGCAATTAGAAAAATACCAATTGCACCTAAGTTTTTGTCACAAGATAGATATAAAACTTAGTGAGGAAATGTGTGGGCGTGAGTCGTTGGGGGCCAAAAACAAAAAGAGGAATGCTAGCAACCTTCTCTTTAACCTTTTCTTTTGGACCTTCTCCATTCTCTTCATGACATGTGTCACTTTCTCTATACTTAAAACAATGTATGTTTTGTTTTCCAAATTTACCCTTGTTAAATGCATTGGACAAACTAACTTTTGTTTCCACCTTGTTACAAAATTAAAAGAGAATTTTAAAATCTTCCACAAAATTAACGTCAGTTTTTTTTAAAAAAATTAAAAAAATTCTGTTTACTACTCTTTTTTCGGTGAGGGAAGGGAGAATGGGTTTTGGGATGGGGGCCGTTGTTTTGGCCAAGGGAGGGGGCTGTGAGAGAGAGAGAGAGAGAGAGAGAGAGAGAGAGAGAGATATGCTGCAATGGGTTAACTTGGGTTTTCATTTGTTGTTTCTTTTTATCTTTTAACTTTTTTAATCAATTAGAATGTTCATTAATTTAAAAAAATATTTATCTGTATTTTTTTTTATAAATTTCATAATTTTTAACGGTTTTATTGTAATTTTTTTTTTAGGGAAGTATACTTCGTTTTTATTTTCAAATATTTATTTAATTGAACTTTTAATGTTTATTTTTTAAATTAATTGTTTAAGTTAAGTTGTAAATTGAAGGAAATATAAAGTTAATACATCTAATAAGGGTAAATTTGGGAATAAAAGATATATTGTCTAATGCATTAATGTCATTGTTTTAAGTGTAGAGAAAATGACACATGTCATGTGGAAAAGAGAGAAGATTAGAGAGAAGGTTGCTAGCATTCCCCAAAGAAAAATGGCCCATTTTTTATTTCATATGATATGAGGGCCAAAAAGTAGCTTGTGTTTCAAGTCAGTGTCCAATCCCCTTATTTTCCTCATTTGGACTGACAACGTAACATGCCTCCATAATCCGTGACTGTCGGCGTTTAGAGAGAAGACACCCACTCACTCTCTGTTTCCTTTTTCTCTGCTTTCTAAATAGTGTCAAGTCAAGGTTGTTTTCTCATTTTTCTTTTTTCTAATGGTTTCTGTCTGGTTGCTCTCATTCCAACGAAGCAATGGGCTTGAGCTTGACCAAAGTCTAAGCCTTGCAGGTGTAGGCCTGGGTCAATGCATTAGTGCCTTTCAAATAATCGACCTCATAGACCAGACTCCAAATTAGGTAATGATTTAGACACTCCAAAGACAATCTCAAATAACTTACTTCTCATGTGTAAGAGAGTAAGAGTAGAAAGAGTGAAAAATGACTTCTGAAGTGCCAAAAT